CCACACACCCTATTTACCAAGTCAGAGGAACTACAAGGGCAGTGGACTCCAGTCCTGGAAGTGGTGCCACTATTACTCATGTGCTCCAAACCAGGCACATCGTGTGACAGTCTGGGGTTATCCTGGGAGGAATTCTGGAGTGACACAACTCCTCCTTCTTCCTACAAGCACCTGAGATGCTGAGGGTGCAGTGCTCCAGCAGATCACCGCCAGGACAGTCCTGCCAGCCCCACCTGCCGGAGGGTTGGTCCCTACTCTGATTGCCAGGAGCCTGCCTTCATTTCCCTGCACAGCTGCAAACTGTTCAGGGCTGGATGGTATATGAGCTACCAGATGTTCAAGTTTCCCTATACTCAACCTGTCTTTCTGCCTGGAAGTTGAATGTAGATGGGATTTGAGGTCTTTGTGGGTCCCTGGATGAATGATCACAGTGCATGAGGGGACCAGCACAAGCACAGTTACCTGGGAAATCCCAGACAGAAATATGAGAATTAGGCATATTGAACCACACCACTTGATCCTTCTTAAGAATGGGGAGAGTGATAAACAGCAGAGACATGCTGGAAAAACCTTGTCAAAGTAATACAACCTTGGGAGACCTTTTTCTATCACTCAAACCTCATCTTCAGACACTGGGGATGTGCGTGGGAAATACCTGAATCCCGGCACAATGAAATGCAAAAATTACAGACAATTTTAGCTTCAACACGTGCAGTAATGCAGTGTGCTAGCTCTAGGTTTCTACTCCATGTCTCAGCTCACTGTAGAACAGTCTGAGTCAGCCAAGAAGCAGAAAAACACCAATTTCAGCAATGCTGCATGATCAAGGGGACCCTTGAGGGGTAGAAAAGGTCAAGAATTCCCCTATCCCAACCCCGGTTCTCACAGCAACTGTGGCAAATTAACTCCTCTGTCCTCATCTGTAGCATGGAGATACTACTCACCTACCTCACAGGAGAGCACAGAGCTAATTACCAGGGACAACTAAAGACTCAGCCCCAGAAATTATTACATCAAGATATTAAATAGTGAATGAAGCAAGACTTCACAGGTGTCACTGAACTTTGACATCTGGAACTTCCAGCCCACTGAAGTCTTAACAGCAGCAGTGTTTAGTCTGACATTTAAAAATCCCCTATGGATAACAGCTCTCCATATCCAACAAGAGTGAACCTGCGTGGCTCAGGAGACTGGGAGCCTTGCCTTTCTGTCTGAGCGGCACCTACTAAGCTGATGGGTCCTAGGAAATAAATAATGTGCCACTGAAAAGCACATTTGTATTCATACACGCCTTATTTTTCCAAGAGGTAATTGACAGTATTTGGTTACCTATGGTTGAAATGATTAGTCATGTTTCCAAAGATTAATTTACATGTTCTTTTGTTTAATACGTATGAACTGATTTAATGACTGCTTATGAACTGAGCTAACAGTCATTTTGAGAAACAGATGTCCGATGCAGTTTTAAGCTTTAAGAGTGCTTTTATTCATATCCTTAGGAGAAAAAGGGCTACACAGTCTACAGTAATAATACTAATGAATCAAAGTACTACAGCTGCCCAACAGGGTTTTGACAGAAACCAGCTTTTTCTCAAAGGAACTTTTTTTTAGGGCTCTGGGACAGTGAACAACTGGTAATATGCATGCTACATGTAAGTATGTGCTTTGCTGGAGCCAAAACACTGAATCAAGCCCTATCTGCAACCAAACAATGTGAGGCTTTTGCATAAGTGGTGAAAACTGTAGCTACACAAAGACTGAGAAATCTGTATGGAATCTCGATCCTCTATGTTTTATATAAATAAATATTTGAAAGTTTGAGTGTTTCTGATACTATTTAGTGACACTGAATGCAGAACAGGTTGTCTGCTTCAAGCCCTGATAGATTATTGTGTGTGGGTGGTAGGGTTAGGATAAAAGAAAGGGAAGAAAGCTACTAGGAAAGCAGTTGGTGGTTGCAAACCCATGATAAATAAACAGCACATTCCTCTTCTGCACAAAGCCATTAGAGTCTGTGTCAGACTTTACCATCCTAATGTCAGCTGGGTGCAAATTTGACAGCCTGGGGTTCTGCAGTGCTCCCTATGGAAAGCAGATTTGAAACAATTTGCCATGCCCCAACAGAGCATTTCTGTCAAGTTCCTAAAGAGCTTCTAATGCACCAGTTATTCACAGGACCCTTGCAAAGAACCACGGGTTTGATATTTTATGGTCTGGTGTGTACAGTGCAGGATATGATTACACACAAGCCTGCTTCCCATCAGCTAGCACCTCGTAATCGTTAACATATTTATCCTTGTGGTGCCTCAAGAAGATGACATTGTTATTAGTCCCATTTTATAGATTCAGAAACTGAAGCTCAATAGCTAAATGACTTGCCTTTGATTACACAAGATTTATAGTGAAGGACAGAACTGAGTCTCAGCCCTACCGGGCCCAAGCAATCCAAGCAAGGATCACACCAGAAGGACTAGATCTACGTGCAGAATCATCCTTCATCTCAGGTGCTCGTAAGTCCTACGAAATGGTTATATCTGCACTGGGATTTGTGCCTTTTGTGTCTCAGCCTTTATCCCTGTAGGTACCTATAGGGAACATGGACGTAGATACATTACTGCATGTAAAAGCTGAGCTCGTAAGTTACATTCCTCTGCAGCAGCTGGAGATGAGAGTCTCCATATCATACTCTTGTACTTAATAGCACATTGAGCAATTTTGCTCAAACGCATAAGACATGCTGAGACAGTGTATTAAGAAAGGCTGAGACATAATAAGATCTTCCTCTTCTACTTCATCTATACCACACTGTTCTGGAAAATATGTTGACTGATCAGTTTTAGCCGCAGTAAGGGTAATCATCAGTACCAGTTAGTTAGAGGTTGTGAGTAAACACTGCTTTCCAGCACAAACCAGCCCTTTCAGTACGGTCAATGCATTTAACAAGTCCCATTGTATCTGCTACATGAATTTGAGAAGAAAAGCCACTGCAAAAGTAAAGAAGACCTTTCTTAAACTCCTCTCAAAGCAGTCAGTAAGATGGAGGAAGAAAGTATTAGGACACACCACTGTTTTGAGATCTCCCCTATCCCTCCAATAGTATCACCAGAGTAACACAGCTGATAGCTCTTTCCTTAACTGAAGTGCTGTCATGGAGAAACAGGGTAGCTATCAGTTTCCCCCGTGGTAACCATAGACTTCAGTGAAACGTATTGATCTTCTAGGAGGCAAACACTGGGAACCAGCCATTCCTACCACTCAGGCTTCAGGCAGGGTAGGTGTGCAGCTGCTGCAGGTTAAGAGAGATTTGCAACAAAGAGCACAGTCACACAGATATGAGGCTCTGAATTTGACCTGCCTTCCTCTCTGTCTCAGAACAGTTAAAAATCCAGGTAAATATTTGTGTTCTTCATCTTAGACCTCTGCTAACCTTTCATCACTCTGTCTCAAGCCTATCTCTGTTTATCTTACCCTCAATAACGTAAAGCTCCCTTATCTAAGCAACAACAGCCTCCCAGCATTAAGGCTTACCCATCAGCTGCCTCCTCGACCTGATGTGCACCTGAAATGTTTCTGGTCATCCCCAAACACTGTGGACTCAGAGGTCACACTGGGCATGCAGACGCATGCAGGAGCCCAGCATCTGTGAGAAATCCTGCCCAGTACTTTTGAGCCTTCCAAGTCTGGGTGTGATTTGTGCAAATCAGATGGTATAATTTTATATTTTTTTCAGTGCGGCCAGCGGGACCAGCCAATGATACAATGTGACCAACCTTCAAGCAGGGAAATACTACTCAAAACCTGAGTCAGATCAGAATCTGGCTCAATTTCATTACTATATAGTAAAAGTAAGATTATTCCTAAAGCAATAATAAAGTCACTTGAGATTTTTTTTATATAAGCACCAATATCTCATATTAGTTGTTATTACATAGCATCAGCAGTTGATATAATACTTCCCCCAAAGGATTAGGCAACTCAGAAAAATTCATATATAAGGCAAATCAGAAGTCACCCACAAAATGGAACAAGAAAGGACAACTATGAGAAATATTCTTCTCATGAAATGTTTGAATCAAGAATGAAACAGGAATTGAAACAGAGCAGAATGCTGTCCCTGCCTGCCACTACAGGAAAGTGCTGATTTCATGACGATTTTACTCTTGGAACAAGAAAGCACAAACATTCATCAGAGACTAAGAAACCAAAGGAAATGGCAAGATGAAGGAGTGCAGCAAAGATGTATGTCTTTCTGTATCATTTAGGTGAAACCATTAAAATTGATGGGAAAACACTTAACTAGCAACTGAAGCCTAAGAAGAGAAGGGGAGAAACCCAGAAAGACAGAAGTGCAGAAACTACAGATGGCTTGAAATCACAGGTAATTTCCTATAGATTCACTGTATTCAAAAGTTACAAAAGAGAGATCTACAGGTCCACCTAGTCCCACTTAAATCACCTTTTAGACTACAGACTATTAGAGACTAGGGTGGTATTGGCATGTAATTACTGACAGAACACACCTGTTTCAGCAAGACAAGATCAAAGTCACTTAAAAAAAAAAAAAGAAAATCAACACTTTAACCAAAAGGTTTGTAAGTTTGAGCTAGAAAACAATATACTCAGGCAAAAATATCAGCAGTCATCTATGCCACCTAGCTCTGGATACTGTAGCCCTTTTCAGCACAGTCCATTTTATAGGGATCAGTCCAGTCTGATTTCAAACATAGTACACTGTGAACAGCAGGTTCTACAGAACACAGTCAGAGCCACTCTGCATTTGCAAGGTTTGTCCAAAACCCCTCTCAAAAGCTGCACTCCTGAGTACTAGCCCATTAATCCAACCTGAACAACTCTTCTCCCTCAGTCTTTGCACTTCACAAGCATTCACTGCTAGCTTCCCTCTCCTCTTGCCAAGTCTTTTCCCACCCGGCTTTAACTTTGTTTTCCATGCTGAGCTCTTTAGCTTCCCTCTGCCACTGAGTGTGCAGGGTGAAACTCACGGTGCTCGGTCGTGGTTCAACCCATTCTGTCTTTGTGCATTGATTGGAGGTAGGACAGGTTTGCTGTTAATCTCAAGCCCTCTCCGCAAAGTCTCCCTGATTTGCTCTGTATCTGCAAAGAGAAATTTTTTAAATATAATTTAGAGTCCCCAGAAACATCACAGACACAAGGAGATATCAGGTGTGTTTCATCTAAACTCTTCCCCTTCAGAAAGAAATGAAGAGATGCTAAGGGTTAATACTTAACTGCCCTTCCTGCACTTCCTTAGGAGTTATTTCACTTTATAAAGTTGGTTTAAATTCTCTTGGTTTGGGCTGTGATGGTATGTCAGGCAAGGAGAGCAAGGTGTTTGCTGTTTCTGTAGCTCTCACAGAACCTCCTCATACTTCCAAGCCTTTGTACTGGAAATCATTTTTCCCATTAGGCATAACAGGAATTTGTTCCTTTACCAAACAAGTGTATGAAAATTTGAAAGGTTTTGCAATTGGCTTTGCAAATCTGTTGATTAATTTACAACAAGATTCACAAAAGAGGGGAATTTTACGCAGAGCAACCTTCAGCCTCAAGCGCACGTCTGAAAATAAGCTGCAAATTATGCAGTTCAGATGCAGTCTTTTTACTTCTGCATTTTTCTAAAATGCCTACTGGCCAAATACTTTCAATAGAGATCTTTCCTGCCTTTCTTAGAAGTTTCCTCATATTTTTTTAAGAAATGTGAGAATTGGGTAGACAAAAATATATCCAAATTATTTCAAAATTTTTTGAAGGATATGCAAATTTCACCATGTATGCCTGTCTTTGGCTTTTCCTTTGCAAAGCTGAGGAAAAATCACCTTTTTAGATCCAGTGCCGTTCAAAATATTTGCACAGGAGCCAAAAGAAACTATATATGCATTTAAATAATTTCTACTGTGGACTAAAGAACAAGTAAGATACCATTTCTGTGCAAACCGTTGTTAATTCCAGGAAATCTCAAGCCCTCAAATTTTATGTTCCTTCACCCATTTGAAAGGTAACATGTATAATTTCAAGCCAGTGTAATGGCTATGACATCTGTACCCAAAGAGGGCATCTCACTGCAAAGGGGAACTCCACTGTATTTTATTTCTTCTTTCCAGAGTTCCGTATTTGTGAGAATGCCTTGAGTTCAGCTGAATCAGTGTAGAATCAGTCCAACTTGCCACCCAAGAAGTGACAATGTTAATAAGGAACAAAGCCTGGGAAAATACAATTGCTTCACCTTGCAGGTGTTTACAGTCCTGGTTTCACCAAGTGCTCAGTTTAATTTTGCAGATTCAGATTACAATTTGCTTAAAAACTGAAAAAAGCATTTAGACAAAACAAGGCCAGGATCTCTTTTCCTCTCTCCTGCCTTCCTCAAAGAGGCCACGCCAAAATTCATTTCACTCCCCTGAGACACACTGAGCCTCCCAATTACTTGGGTGTTTGTTATGAACTCGAAGATGCTTCATGACTCAGTGCACTGCCCAGACCCACCACAAAACAAGCCAAAAGGTCATGACAGTGACTTGGCCCAGGACATCTTACCCTTTCCAGAAAGCCGCCGGGGCTGCGTCCCAATGCAAATGCTCCTGCTGTCTTCATCATCCTCCGGTGGCCGGCTGAGGTCATCCCAGGCACATTTGGCACTCACTCCACTCAGGTTTGAGCCATCTGTCTCAATCCCTTTATCGACTCTCTCCTGCTTGAAAAGATCCAAAACATCAAGACTTTTTTGGGTGTGGCTTGAACCTGAGCAGGAACCCACCATGGTGCAGCCCAACCTTCAGCAGCTCCTGCAGATCCCTCTTTGTGGACAGTTTCCACCCTGTGGCCCCTGTGCTTTGCTGTGTCAGCAAACAGTGACTGCACCTGGAGCCAAATCTGGGAGCTGGTCAGAACTGAATAAACCTTTTCCTTAGCAGGTTGATCTGAACTTCCACCCCTTACCCACTGCTTCACTACATGGCGCTGGCAGGCCCAAAGGAGGGTAAGAGAAAAGTGGAAACCTGGGGTGTACAGGGTTGCCTCTTTCAGTGTTAGCACTGATTTACAGCAACTCAAAGTATTTAAGACACTACATTACACACTCCTGTATGAAGCACAGCTTGGCAGTCGATCTATTACATGTCAATGACAACAAATCCCTGAATAACTAAAACTACATTCTGTTTTCAATCTTACCAAGGAGTCCTACAATGCAAACAGCTCACGGAGAGACTAATCATTCACAAGGGTTCTTCATTTGCAAACTGCCCAGACAGCCCCTGCTTTCCAGTGTGCTGGGGTGTCCCATAAAGGACAAACGTACAGGTTTGGATGTGCAAGGAGATACAGGTTTGTTCCCAATGTCAAAGCTTTTGCATAGCTTTCTCTATTGGCAAATAAACAAACTCCCTCCCTCACAAGCTGGACTTTCCAAGCACACAACTAGTGTTTGGGTGTTGGAAGGTGTCACATACCAACCACAAGCAGTTGGATGCTCTCAGACACCAGGCATTTTCTCCACGACGTGCATCTGCAAGACTGCCCTAACTACAGCCAAAACTTTCACAGGACACTTTCACCTGCTTTCACCTGCTTGGACACTGGCATCAGTCTGACTTTCCACCTGTGACCCACAAGGGGGTAATGTTGAGCTGAACAAACTCGGGGCTGAGCTTCACCGAGGACAGGCTCTTACCGCTGTCACCTCTTCCCTGGCTCCAAACCAACCTGGATTGTTTCCCCCTTTTCTGAAGGGGTATCTCTTCTGGTACCTCTCAGTGGCACCAGCAAGATCTCCATCTCTCTGCATACATCTTGGTCACCTCAAAACAGGCAATAAGCCCCAAGAAACATTGAAGATTTGAGGAGAGAGCAGAGCTGTGTTAGACACAATGCTCCATGTTACTACTCTCCAGCTTCACCTTGCCACTGGAGATGAGACACTGTGTGAGTATTCAGTGCTTTGCAAAATCTGTTCCCTAAGAAAGTTTCCGGACTAAACCCACATATATTCCTCCCCTTGCCCAACTGTGCACACTCTGCCCTAGGAAGAGCATGGCCTGTTCTTGTGATCATTCAAGAAAGGATTTGAGCAGCTCAAAGATAAGCACAGGCACTCAGGGTGTGGTTGCACAGCGGTTTAAATTGATGTAATTTGCAGTGACTGCAGTCCCACCCTCCTCCATGTGCTCCTAACCCTTTCCTTGAGCCAACTCTTTATTTTTTTTCATCTGGATCACCTCCCAAAACCCACTCTTTGGCCCAGAAGTAGAGGCAGGAGCCTGTGGCTGGGGGCAGGACCAGAGCAGTCTTGACTTAGACTTAGGCATTCAAAAGACTGCCTTCCTTCCGTCTCTCTCCCTGAAAGACTGTTCCTTGTCAGGATCTTCCTCCGGCGTCAGGGGAAACTGACTTCTTGAATGCGTAATAGGAAAATCTGAGAAATAATAAATCTGCTGGGATTTTCTTTTGTTAAATCCTAAATATGAAATCAGTTGTATCACCCAGAAATAGAAGTTTTGGAAAAAGAAATAAAAATACATCCGTTCCTACATATGCAAACAATGCTTTAAGTGAGATTTAGCACGTGGCTCCTCCGGGAGCCCTCTGCGGTGCTCTGCGAGGACCCAGATCAGCTGGCATGGGTGGGTGTAACTTGTCAGCACTGTTATTTTTCATCCCAGTCATAGGGGAAGCATGGGAGAGCCACCAAACTTGCCCTTGAGCAGGGAGCAGAAGAGCCCAGAGGGCCCTGAGGCTCTGGTGGGACCTGCTCCTCCATCCCTGCAGCCAGGGCCCCGCTCAGAGCCACAGCCGGGCCCTGCGGACAGTGCGCACAGCCTCGGGGAGGGGGAAAGGGACTCTCATCTGCAGCTCAGCTGGCTTGCAGAGCACTTCCTCAGGGGAAGAAGTGCTGCTCTGTTGGCATCCCTTGGAGATCAAGGGGAGCTGATGGAAACGAGCTGGCTTAAGGCAGCCTGATTTGCATGCCTGTTTTATAATGTTTGCAAGTATTGATGTTGAACAGGAAAAGTCCAAAATAACCCCAACCAGTTCAGATTCATCTGTGGCAATTCACAGTTTTACCCCATCTTTAGCCAGCAAAGATTTGCTTGGACTGAGGGGCTGTTCTTCCCTTGAAAGGGCAGCCTGAGCAGGAGGTTGGAGGAGCCCAGGGCAAAGGAGGTTCAGCTCTTTTCCTTCCTCAAAGGATGTTTCTGTCCTATTTTCCTCTCAGCATGTGGGAGGGATGCTCTGAGGCTCTTATAAGTCATTGATCCCTTTTTAAACGAGCCAGAGCACTGCAGTGTGACCCGCAGAGCAGCAACCACAACTCAGGAAATTCAAATCAGCTTTATTCTCTTCTGAGATATCTGTTAAACAGAAGCAAAGCACTGAGAATCAGTGCAGAGCTGGGGACCGACAGGGATTGTTTGACAGTGCTGCCAGAGAAATCTGAATGGCCTACAGGGAAGCCTTGGCTGAACAGAAAACAGCCAGCCGTTGCCACAGTGTTAATTGCCGACATCCTGGGATGACATCTTAGTTGGGATCCATTCTCAGCAACTCCGAACAGAAAGTACAGCTGCTGCTGCCAGGGCTGGGTTTAGGCCTCAACCAATTCCCACAAGAGACAATGCAGCCTCCAAACAAGCTCTGCCTGCTTCCCAGGCAGACAACATGCTTGCTGGCTCCAGGAAAGTTGTCCATTTTCTCTGCCTGCTCCCTCCCTCCCCTCCACCTCTCTTCCATTGCTGCCTTTCTGGTCTCACACACCCTGTACCACCACTAAGAAAATAACACTTTATTCTTTCCCCACTAATTAGAGCAGGAGGCACATGACGTGGCTGAACCCAGCCTGGCACAGCCTTGCTCCCTGCACTCAGCAAAGGCTCTTTGCAGGACCCAGCAGTGGGTTTTGCCCTGTGAATTCCCAGGGGCTGTGGCAGCAGAACAGGAAGGAGGTGTGCACACAAACACCTGAACATATGGACTTCTGCAAGGGCAAGTGAGAACAGAAACAGGAATGTCTTCAGTGTGAAGAAGTCCGGAAGGACCACAGACATAGCAGCTTTCAGCAGCAGGACGCGCTGGTGAGGCAGAGGTACTCTTCATTTGCCTTAACTTGCCTTGGCTGACTCAGATTCCAGTAAGCTGAGCTATTTTTCATTTACAGTAAATTGAAGAAAACCCTGTTATCATTAGGAATCACCAGTGTGCAGAGAACAGAAACACCTCCAGGAGAGGAGAGGGCAAAGTTCTGAAGAGCCTAAAAACTTTATGGGACTTGCAGTTGTATTAGCTCCCTTATTGTGGAACATTTGCTGAACATTTTTTTCCTGAGTTTCTCAGACTTGGGGTTATTTTAGATGAACAAGTCCTTAAAAACAGTAAAAGTAGAATTTGGTTTTGTTCTTAAGCTTTCAAAATAAAAGATGTTGTGAGGCAACTGAGGGTAATCAGATGCAGACATGCAGACCATGAGCAAACGCAATAGCTTGTACAAAACGTGCACATATGCACGTGCCCTACCAGGCTAAGCCATAAGTTCTCTGTTAAAGGCAAATACTCAGTGATTCACTGAAACATGGCCAGCACCACACTGGGTTTGCCTGTGACCCATGTACTCCAGAACCATAACTACGCTGAAGGGATGCAGAATTGTCCCCCAAATACATAGAAGTCCACAGGAGAGTAACCTCTCCATAGAGGTCCTATTCTGATCTTTAAATGTCAGAAATTAACTTGAACTCTGAAGAAGGTTCAGTATATCTTCCTGCATGGATTATTAATAACTGCATGTGATACTTTTGGCTTCCCATTGTTTCTCAGACCACACTAACTACTTGGCCTCAAGTGTCATCCTACGGGAATAAGCAACACTATCACATTTGCCATGAAAAAATAGGACTTAGGTGGGTTTGAGTTTTCTGTATGTTATATCACCTTATGCTTGCATATAAAAGAAAGGAGGAATTTCCTGGTGTACCATTTTAAAATATTTTATTTTTCTATGTTCTGTCATCTTCTATTTTCCTCCTTTCTAAAACATCCAGTCCAAATCTTACCAATTTGTTTCACATAGGAGATTCTGTTTTCCTGGTCTCCCTTCTCTAACTTTTTTCCTAGACCTGCCATCCACCTAGGGCTGGACATGTGTTCTCCTGAACCACCTCTGAGAGGGAAAAGAGTTTCTAGGACTTTTACAGGATTATTGCAAACACTGAGAAGATCAAAGCACCTTTAGAGAAGATAATAGAACTGTTGTATATCATTAAACCAATTCTCTCTGGCTACTAAAAAAGACACGGCATTTTACAAACTAAAGACATACTTGCAGATGTGGGTCAATCTCGAATATTGTCTCCCCTCTTCTCATATCTGTTATCAACCAGGGGCCTCCAGCTCTACAAAGAAAGACAGATAATGAACCAAACAAGTTCTTTAGCTCCTTAGAGTCCTTAGAACTCCCCAACAGGGTCCTCGGAGTGGAGCTGTACTGGAAGGAAGATAGAAAGTTTAAAACAAACCTAGAAGCCCCTCTATGCTGTATATACCTCCCATAGCATGCATTTGCCCTTTACATTTCCCAAATACTTAATAAAATTACTTAATACTTAATAAAAGCCCTCTATGACCTAGTGGTTAATCTGCTTAGTGTCTGGCACCACCAAAAGTTGCAGAGCAGTCAGGACTGGCACACGTTATCATGCCCTGTGCAGGCCAACTTAGTCATACAAGACTGAGCTGGGTTTTAATCTTTACAGGTAACTGAATTGGGACTGAGAAGTCCAGTGTAGCCTGGGTCTAAGACAGATAGGCAAGGCATGAGGTCAAGATTTATACCTCTATTATGTATCTAAAGATAGAGCAGGGTCCCAGTGGGACTGCACTTTTTGCAGAGATCGTCAGTCAAGTTCGGTACCATAAAGAGTTTATTGCTCTGATAAATACCCTTGCAACAGGCATTTTGCTCAGTTGGTACTTAATGGCCAGGTACTCTGATGGTTCAGGAAAATCTTTGTTTTCATTTCATCAGCAACAGAAGTTGGAAGGGTCAAGATGTTTCCTGACAAAGGTGATAGAAAACAGGTTACTGTGAAGATGAACTACTAGGAGACTTTGCTTTGTGTCTCAGTGCAGCCAGACTGCAGAAGTCAACCCTAGATGGTGCTTTCTTCGTTTGCAGTAAAAACTTAAGTCTCTTGGAACTGCCATAAAAAAATTCATTTTTTTCATGAGACACTTTGTTATTGCAGTCAAAAGCCCCCTCCTCTGGCCCAGTCTGTGTTAGTCTCCTAAAGCACTTAGAGCGGGAGCAAGAAAAGTTAATGTTTTATAGTTTTTCAGATGCATCTCTTCAGATGCCACTCTTTTTTCACATCACTTTGGAAGTTGTGAATTATTAACTGCAGAGGTGTGACCTGCTTCAGTTCCTCACTGGGATGCAAGAGAATTTTACCCTGACTCCACATCAATGGCTTAGTAGTTTGCATCTTTGCCTTCAAATCATGCACATTTGGGACTTATTTTATCCTTGGAAAGGTGCTTGTACCACAGCACAAAAGCCAAAACCCAACATGAGAACAAACTGAGGAGAGGGGTGCTATATCTGCATTGACTTAGAGGAGCTAAGGGAGCTTCAGAAAGTGTTTATTGTCTTAGGGACCCAGAAACAAAGCTTGCAGCTGGACTAATACACTCTACTCTAGGGCATTTGCAAGAATTATCTGCACTTGTGCCTAAAAAGGGAAAAGTTCAAGTTGCATGAATGCTCCTCCTGTTGCAAACTGGCCCACCAAGAGTGGGACCAGCTTGAGAGTGACTTTCTTACTTTCAGACAGTACCCAAGCTTTGTAAGCCAGACCCTCTCCTTCCTTTCTTTTGAACTACACAGAAAGGTCACCAGGAACAGTTATCCCAGCTCTCTCAGGAAGAACCAATGAGAAAACCCTGGAGGCATGAGAGGGAGGAAATTAAGCTTTCAAGACCTCATTCTGTTTCACCCTGAACATGTGGACTTCCACATGCATTAATTTGCCATCTAAGTGTCTGTGCGTGAGAACAGATTTGCAATGAATTCCCATCTCTTGCTACAGCACAGATTAAATAAGTGTCATCAACAAGTTAAAGACTGTTAATAAAAATAAACAACTGAATTGTTCTCTATGGAAATGCTCCCCTATATAGCCTATATGACCACTTACACTGGGACAGTCCGAAGCAGTTCCAAGATCCCTTGACCGTTCCACTGCTGAGCCGCATGCAGTTCCTCCGTGCAAACCCCAACAATCTGGAATAAATACAAACAGAGACATTAAACTGGATGGGAACCGTGCAAGAACTGTAGAGAAAATATACCACATGGTACTAGACCAAACAGTACAAATACAGAGAAGCACCATTTCTTTAATCTAACTAGATGAGCTAGGACAAATGGAGCCTGAGACAACAGTGGGATTCTGCAATTCCTTACGCTCTCTCTACACTTACCCTGAGAAGCACCTCAGTCATGTAACAATCTTTCACAGCATGTGTGAACTTAAAAATGAGGATGGTCTGGTGACAAATCAGGGTTTATACACTAGCCTGCTCTGACTTTTCAATCTAGTCCACACAAGACAGGACTGAGCAAGACAGGTTAGGGTCTGAGCATATGCAAACACTGCTCTTTCAGCCAACTGCTAGGAGCCAATGCACAAGCAATTGCAACCAGGCAAGGGACTTGCTGCCATACGGGATTGCTTTGGTGCTCATAAAATCCTTGACCAACTCAGTTTGCTGACTGGTTACATCTTACCCAGCACCTTAAAGTAAAGCTGCTTACACACCACATAATCCACTTGTCACTGCAGGCAACTGCAGACTTCTGCCTTCCTGTATAAGGCAGGATGTGTTTGCTTTTCAGGATAGGAGCTGCCACACTGAGCCATACCAGATGTCTCTCTCACAGCAGCTGAGATCAGCCGCTTCAAATGAAGGGGTGAAACAGCCTTCAGCTGATAGGGGAAGGCAATTTCTTCCTGCTTTATCAACCTCTGACTTGTGCCTTTGAGCACAATGATTCACTCGGAGATGAAAAATTATTTTATCCACAGCCTTCTATTTTCTTCCTCAATATTCTAAGCCTTTTCCAACAACACTGAGTTTTTGGTCAAAATCTGTTCAACTGATGTTTTATCAGAAAATAGGAAAACTAACAACTGGAGAGCAGCAAGCAGAAGTGCACAACGTGCCTCTGCTGCAAGCGCGTATCTGCACTGATAAGAGATCTGTGTGGAAAACCATCAACGTCAGCATGTACCCAGCTCTGCACACCCTACCTCCCCTGCCCCTTGCAGAGCTCACTTTCTCAGGATCCAGCCCTTGGAGATGCATTTCATCCCCACCCATCTCCCAGGCTTCCTCCATCAACAGCCTGAATCACCCTTGCTTCAGGACACCCCTCCCTGGGCCTTCACTCAATAATTACACATAAACAACAAGATTCTAAACAGGAAATTATTTTGTGTTCATTCTTTGCTTTTTGCAATCATTTATCCTCATGGGTCAAAATAAATCCATAACAACAAGCATCAAACAAAGGGGAAAAACAGGTCAACTGTACGCGTTGTGGAAGATTAGAGTCCAAGGGCCTCAGGATGAAGCAAGTTGAATGTCCTTTGATCCAGGACAGCTGGGCACTAAAGAAGAGATAAGGACTAATGCAGCACAAACTGGAGAGTCAGCCAGGAATTGCCCTGCTTAGCTTGGCACTCTGCCTCTCCTTCCAGGTCCCACAACTCACCTTTCATTAATTAATCAATCTCACACCTATCTCTTTCTTGTTGATAAAACACAGACTTTTGGGCACCTCAGAAAACTCAGGAAGTTCTCTGCCCTTGCACAGCAGTTGCCTTGTGCAGGTTTGTGGTAACAGAGGTTCGCCTTACATATTGCAAACTACAACCAAAGACAAACAGGAGCAACTTGAAGCTTAAATTGTAAAATACAGACACTTGCATTTTCCCACAGGATGGAAGCTTTTCCACCAAGCAGGGAGAAATTAGCAGTTGGCATGAACTCTTCCACTAAGGTTATTAACTCCATATGCAATTTAAAAGTATCCAAAGCAGCCTCTATCTAAGAGACATCGCTGAGAAGAAGGACTTCGGGAAAGCAAGCAAACCTGTTTGGCCACAGAAGCTCCTCACACTGAACAGCAGGGTTAACTCACAAGGGATTTTTTTAAATGTTTTGTTTGTAAAGCAAACCTGAACATTTTCTAAACAGTAGATCAATGCAGAAAAACTCAGTTTCTAAAGAATCTTTGTGCCAATGCTGCCATTAAGTACCGCTAAAGTAGCTCCAAGCTCTTCCTGCTTACAGAATATCTCCAGAGTAACAGCTCAAAGATGAGATCCACAGTAATTAAATAAGGAAGAAAGCTGGAAGACAGGATAACAAACATCTAACTTATCCCAGCTCAATGCAAGGTTAGCTGCATTCCATGCCCAGGAGGTGGCAGTCAGAGCCAGAGTCATACCTGTAGGAAAGTAACGACCCCAAAAGGAGTCTGCACCGGCTGCATCTGAGGGTCTTCTGTCAGTAACATGTGCTGGATTCTAGATTCACTGTTGTCCAAAGGGCTGTGCCACGATACATGGTCACCGCTGCAGAAGGTGTTTTCTGCAAGGAAGAGGAACAAGAAATATTTAGTCTGTGAAGTCTGTTAGAATATTCCTTCTGTTGGCACCTGCTCCTGACCACTGTCAGGCAGGGACCCCAAGCTGGGCCCAGGACAGTCACTGGTGCCTATTCACAGGGACTGCCTCCAGCCACCTCTGCTGAGTCTCTGAGTCACCTGAAGCAGGAGTGGAGTCTCATTGAGCCATCTGAATTCAAGCACTGTGAATTAACCACTCTTGAGTCCTGTGGCAAAAAATAGTGTCCTACCTTGATATTAAGCCCAACACAGGAATAACAAAAAATAAAATTAGTCTGTCTCTCACTTACTATTAGTCTCCTTCTGTAAGAGGGCACAGAGAGTCATTAGGCCATACTGGGTGCCCATGGGACAGCGATTCATACTTAATTTGCAGCTCTAATTTGCCACTGAGAAAATATTCTGAAATGTGAATTAAACACAAATACTACTCTGCTATATCTAATAAAAATCCATATTCTGCTGCCCAAATTGTGATGGTCTAAGTCAAAATCACTGTCTCTCCCAATTGTCTGGCGGCTTTGGTGCAGAATAATTAATATACTCCTTCTTTCTCAAACAGTGAGAAAACCAGTAGGCTATAAATTTCACTCTATGTCTGCATCAAAACAAAGACCCAGATATTATCCTTCCTTCTTCGTGACTGTAAGCATTCCTTTCTCTTCCTCCTCTCCTACTCAGAAAGACAAAACCTCAGATAATCCCATGTTCCACACCTAGTGCATGCCAGAAGGCACACCAGAACCCGTCTGTGTAATGCTGCCCCATCACAGGAAAGGTTAATGCTTGCTTTCTGAGTGAACTAGAAGTAAAACAACCAGCCACGACCATGTTCACACCAATTAAAGCACGTTCCATTTGCACACAGTTTCCAGAGCATGTGTGCAGTAATGCTGCCCAGCCGACTGCCTTGTTCTCGGGTCTTGTGCTTGCCCCGCTCCAAGTACAGCTTTTATAGCACATACAAATAAACAGCCTGGAATACATATTCTGCTTCTGTAGTGCTCCAGGGATGTACAGAGTACTGCCCGTCTTCCTCCAAAGTTAGTGGCAGGCACAGTGCCCCTCTCCCTGACCAAACTCATCGATGAAGGCAGTCCAAGCTGCTGTCTTTACTTTGGCCTCTCCCAAGGCCACACCTACAGGACAGTGGGAAAGGAGGCCTTGCCCACCAGGCAAGTCCTCCTAGGAGGACTAGGACTTCTGCTGCAGACTGGAAAATGTTAGTGGTTACTTGAGTTGCTGTCTGTCAAGACTGGGGCATCTTACATGCTACTGACTAGGATCCAATTCAAAGAAATGCTCTCTGCCTTGCAGCTACGAGGAGATGTGGTTCTGGATCTTCACCTAACCTTCCCACACCACATGCCAATAGGACATCTCTTAAACAACTACAGGACTTATCTGAGAATCCATGGCAGCTTCTGCAGCAGCAAGAGAGAAACAGCATTTGCCAGTAACTGCAGCTTTATTCCCAGTCACATTAAACAATACACACCAAGGAACTGGGCGCTTGCACACCACCCATCGTGCATCAGCGCTGCCACGACCGTGTGCACGCACTTGTGCGAGGGCAGCAAGGGCAGGATGCTTTGAGGGAGCCCTCAGCAGCAGGCAGGTAAACTAAGGAGAGTTCTCTCGGAGTTGCTGTCGTTTAAAATACTCGCAGTTGTCTCCCTGACGAGCCAACTCGTGCTCGCCCACTCCTGGGTGTAATGCAGCGCGTCCTGGACAACTCGGAGTGTCTCCACTGGGTGTCCCCATTGGTGTGGGTTTGAACATTTACTATATATGTATTTTCAGATGAATTTCCTGGACAGCACATTTGATTAAGAATTTAAATAAACTCTAAATACCATAAGGAACTTGGCCTGAAAAATGAGGCATGTAACAGAAGTGTTGTGATAAGTAAGGGAATGTTTTCCTTAGTTAAAATTAGGAAAGAAAGAAAAGACAGTGAATGCAAGCTCCTTGAGAGAAAGAGTTTATCGATATGTACACTAAATTACACGCTTTCAGCTCTGTGACTGAAAGGACTGGTTCAGATATTACTTTACTTTTAGAGTTGAGGAAATATAAGCAGACAAATGAAAATATGATTTTTTTTTTAGTATCAAAATCAGATTAAAGAAACAGTACTTAGAATGTTGGATCTTGCATATTTTCCAAGTTATGTGGAAATGTGACTGATTAATTTTTTTTTAAATGATAAAAGCCTCTCAGTCACAGTTTTCAGGAATGAAACAAAGCCACAAAGAGCTTATTCTTGGGCCCTGTCTTTATACCACAACATTTTGCCCATCAAATGCTCACACAATTCTATGCTGATCGATCGCTTCGTTTCACTGTTGGTGCTGCTTCTGCTGGGAAAGCCCAGCCCGTTTAGAGCAGGTTTTCAAATGCAAATGTCTCTGCTGGAAACCCACCTGTTTATGTCCATGTGAACACTGAACACTCACAAAATCTCCCTCTCCTTTGCATGCACAGGAACACCACAAAATTCACACTGACTACTCAATTAAATCACACACACAAAAAATTCTGCAAATAACATGAAGCCAAATTGAAACCTGTGAGAGTGGAAGAAATTTGGAATTACAGTCTGGAATTCAGCTTTCCACTTGTGGCATTGTCACCCATGTGGAATGTAAGATCAGCTCTTGTACAGAGACCATTGCAGCACTGAGAACAGCCTGAATTGCAGGACTTGTAGCCACAGAAGCTAAGAAGTTACAGAAACAAAGGACTAGATAACCACTTTCTATTGCCTCATGCTGGAAACAGGGACAAGCATCCTCCCATCCTACCTTTCACATTCACGTTTTCAAAACAGAACAACCAAAATATTTTCAAGTACTTAAGTTTTAAACAATGTTTTAGCTAGAAAATCTTGAAGTTTTGATAGATGATTCCTCCAAAGTAAATTTATAATGAAATTTGCGTCTTTTACAAATGTTGAATTAGAACTTAAAACTGATAAATCCTCAAAGTCATCACAGCACAGATGGATGTGGAAAAGTCTCCTGTGGTTTTTGTACCTTTCTATCATTTGCAGTGGTGTCAATAGCACACTGTACAACCTGCCTTTCATTCACAACGTGTACCATGTGCTAGTATTTGTGACATGGACACAGGTGTTTTCATAACACCAAGAGGTGGGTAGGCACAGGATACGTGCACTCATCTCAGGTACGTGAGGAGCACAAACACCTTGCAAGGAGCAAGGTGTTTGCAACACACTTCAGGTAGATATGGCTAAAGACAGCTCCTTTTGTTCCCAAAAATGCATCCCCACATCTTCCATACCATGCAGACTGACTGGAGAAACAGCCTGCCATCTCCAAACTGATTTCTGAGATCTCTGCTTTGCACTGCTATGAACCCAGCACCTGTGGCACAGTTTCTTACTGAAGCACAACAGATGTTAAGGAAGTCCTTTTGTACTGTATTTATTAATGAGATGAAATGCATTTGCATCCAGCATCCAGGAAAAGCTGAGATGGCCTTCAGTGTTTGCTGTGAAAAATGATGGGCTTCTACTGAACAAGCACCTTCTCTACTGTTCCAAAAAGGAAACGATCGGTCTGGGAGCAGCAAATGCTCAGACTGGTGTCATTTGCTGCTGCAGGTTTCTGCTTCTTTGAACTTCTGTGTTATCTGAATCCACAGCAAAGACAAAAAGAGATGTGACATGTCCAAGGAAATAACTGTATATAATGGAAGGAGTTTGATATATTCATGTAATAAATAGCAAGCTTCAAAGCAGCTGGTGTGTTCCTATGCTCAGGAGTAAGGTTGGAGAAGAATTCTATGAGCAGGAGAACTAGGGACACTCTTCTCTGCAGATGGACCCATCATTGCCTAAGGAGGAAGGAGCTCTGACTGAAGTTTTTACTGCATCTGTGGCACGGACAAGAGGACCCTATCTAGGTTCACTTGTGTCTAAGATCCAGTGTGACACATCTCCACTCTTCTCCACTATAGGGGCAACAGTGTTTTCATTTGTCTGCTCATTTTTACAATCCTTTAAACACCAAGTCACTCCAAGAGCTCTGCCACTCTGTTATGTCTGACACTGGCCAACAGGTTCAAACACCATTAGAGTGGCACAGTCAATCTTGGAGGCATGAGAACACCATGACTGCATAAACCTCATCTTAGATGAACACAGCAAAAACAACAGTCATCAGAAAAAGTACCAAGACATGACCAGAGAATTGTTAAATCCGTAGGACAGGTGCCAAGGCACAGAAATGATCTAGCCATCAACAGGAGAAATTAAATAGCCAGGGAACTGAAAAAAAATACGTTAAAAATTTGAATCCAAATTATTTTAGTGTATGGATAAACTGGCAAATCCTCAGGAGCAAACTAAGGCTCTGATTTACTGCATACAAGCTGACTGCTGCTGAATACTTCTGTCTCATGGTAAACTTGAGGTGGCTACATGTTCCCTCTATGGAAGGAAGAGCTAAGCTACCTTATCTGCCCCAGGATAAATTCACTCCCTTCAGCAGTTACCATGGGAGCATGGGATGTGTTGTAAATACACAGGTTTGCTCACAGTATCCTCTGGGACATTTGCACCCTTCCTGCTTGGAAGGGCCACTAACTAGTCTCAAACCTAGCAGAGCAAGGTGACCCATCCTCACAGTTTTGAAAATGGTTCTTTTCTGCAAGTTTGTGTTTTCACAAAAATCACTGATTTTTCTTTCTTTCTGTTGGGGAATAGTGATTCCATGAAATCCAACTGCTTCATAGGGAAACTTGACTTCATAAGAACTCAACAAGGAATTCAGTAAAGTATTTAATTTCAAACTTACTATTTTATTTCATAATTTATAAAAGCAAATCTGAAGCCTCTCTCTAGCTCTACAAAAATGAAAAGTCTCTAAATTTGCCATAGACCAGCTTTTATACTATTCTATTATGCAAAAGCAGCATCTATAAGACAGTTATACTA